GTTTGGTGTGACGGGGATTCGAACCCGCGACCCTCAGACTGCGAGTCAAGCGCTTTAACCACCTGGCCATGCCGGGCCGAATTGTGAAAATAACTTAGGTAGTAAAAATACGACTAAGAAATACTTCGTGTTCCTTTTTTTGAATTATTTACTAAAAGTAATATATTTGGAAATATATTAAAAATTCACGTTTCTATGGATTTGCTTTACATGTAAAGAAAAACATGATGTATTTCTTAACAGTAAACATAATGCAAAATATTCCCTTTATGTTGAAATATTGGTAAATAAAAAGTCTTATAATAAGAAACAAAGCATACTATAATTTACCGGTTCCAATTCTCTCCTTAATTTTTGGTGTGTAAGTACACTAGTCTATATGCATATACATTGTTTCCTCGGGACTCGCATCAGAAACACGTTTTATTGTTCAGGAAGTCAAGTTTCTAAAATACTACTTTGAAAAATGAAAAAAGGATATTCTCCATATACATACCCAAAACTGATCATAAGAAAGTATTTAAATACGTTTTGCTTTCTACTTACACCATACTCCCTCAGTTCTGTCTGTAATGATTCTTGAAATGAGTTATTTTTGTTGCCATCAAAACCATACTGAATAAGGACTTGGAAACGGGAAAACCAATCTATGCACTCATTTAGAATTATTTTTAAAATCATGGTGTGTGTGTGTTTTTTAATATACCTAAATTAAACGTAAACAAAACAGTTGTTTCATTTGTAATTTGTCACTCTCTTTGCTTATTTTTCTAATTCGTCAACTTTGTATCAGTAATATGACTCAGAACCAGGACTGTGCGATCCCTGAGACTCCACTTAAACCATTTATGTGATAGATCCATACGGGCAATATGCTCCTTCAATAAACCATCCCTATGATGAACCACTTGGACAGGAAGCTCTTTCAATAAACCATCCCTGTGATGAAATTACATGGGCAGGGAACTCCTTTAATAAACCATCCCTGTGATGGAATTACCTGGTCAGAGAACTCCTTTAATAAACCATCCCTGTAATAGAATTACATGGGCAGGGAACTCCTTCAATAAACCATCCCTATAATGTACCACTTGGACAGGAAGCTCTTTCAATAAACCATCCCTGTGATGAAATTACATGGGCAGGGAACT